GGTCAGTCGGTCAAAGGCCTCTGACCGACTGTTGACCGACCGTTAACCGACCATGACCGACCGTTAACATCCCTAGTTGAGATATCTATATCTTCTACTTTGTCAATTCTAGCATCAGTTATAACAGATACTTTTTTACGGTCAATTAATTTATTCCAAGTGAATGGTTTATCGGGATTATATTCTTCTTTCTTTTTTAAGATAGGATAATTTAAATTAGGTTGGATGTCAATTGTCTTGGATAATATTTCATTTGATGCCAAAGACACCCAAAGTAAATTTCATTAATGATCATTTGATGAATCCCAATCAGATCCGCCAACTTGTATGTAATCAAATGCATATGTAAGATGAATTTTGGTAAAGATTCTTCATCTAGTCGGATAAATGGATCTATGATGATATTATCAAAGAAACCTAACTCTAAGTGTGAAACAAGAGATACCATTAATACAAGAGGGGCTTTAGCTTTATATTCAGTGGAATTAATCTTTTCTAAAAAAATAAGTCCCCCGGCTTCATGATCCTCTACAGTACTATCATCCAGAGCAGTGTCCTTGGTGATTGGCTTTTGAGTATGGATCCAAAATATAAACTTCAATATGGCCTTTTTACGTTTTCATCTGTAATGTCTTGTGGATCTTTTCTCCCTCCAACACAATCTAACCAATTATCAATTGAATGCTTTCGCTTTGCCCAATAAACAAGAATTCTCTAAATTTCTTTGACTTGTTCTGCAGAAGCAAAAGGTCTCTTCGTTTTCAAAAGCTCCAAAACACACCGTTCCATAATAACAGCAATTTCTCTAACAGCACCAACCAAGATACGATACAATGGATTATTTCGCGAAATTGGATTGGTGAGTTCATTGGAAGTTTTCATTTTATGATCTATTACGGAATCCATAATGTTAAGAGATTTTTCTATATTCATAGGTGACATATGTATACCATAAACATTGTAATCAGTCACGCTATGATGTTCTGGATTGTCAAATTCCTGGAGCTTTATTGGAGCAGTACCTGTGCAAATATGTACTATCAAAATTTTCATATCACAGATTTGTTGATCTGCCACAAGTTGAGAAGTAAAGCGCAAAATATTAGCTATTAAATATTCATCTCGTTGATATTCATCCAATTGCAAAAGTATTAGAAGTTTCTTGGATTTATGATAAGATTGTCGAATCGCTTGCAAAACTGTTACTCAGTCAAAAGCAGAACTTTTCGCGAATTCTTTGAAAGATTGTAAAGATTCTGGTCTGTAATTTTTTGTAAAAAAAAAAAGACGCAATTGCTAATGCCAAATAACAACCTACAAGATTTACGTGTGATATATCACGAGGATAACGTCCTGTAGATGAATCACGTGGAGGACGTTTATCAAAATGAACGAGGGAAGATTCCGGAAAAAAATTTGAACAAATATATGAATAACTTCAAAACTATCATCCTGAATTTGTTTAAGGTCTTTGATTATATTAATCGTCTCAAATCCATGTCGCGTTTTTCCAGTGCCAGAACCACCTGAGATACTGATACCCTGATAATCATTTAGACGAGAACTTCCATTCTCAAAGGCTTCTAAATTAGTTTCTATTTTGTCTCGAATGAACTGTTGTATATCGATGTATTATACATGGTTATAACAGGTTTGTCTTTATTTGACCAGCTTCGATAATTCTTTTTATAGTAAGGGGTTCTTCAATTGAGAATAAATAGTGGTGGGTTAAGATATAGGACTACAGACAATACACGTTATTTAACTCCAGATACTGTACCTTGTGTAAAGCTTCGCGAACCTGCTTTAACGCGAAAAAAAATAGATCAGACAAACTCGATATTTTGTTATGCAAATTTCTTGTTCAAGAGGTAAAACACTTACCAGGTCAGGTACGGGGATGATGGTGACGATGTGGATGTTACTCACTGTAAATTCAGCTTTACCATCTAATTGTTGATGAAAATAGTTACTAAACAGTAATCGAGGTTTCATTCATTTTCATCGTTACGTTTTTTTTCAATGCCATCTTCATCAACGACATTAACTTTCCAAAGTTTCACTGTGCGTTAATCAGAATCAGCAACATTTTCCCTATCACAGATATAATCCTTGAGGTGATCAACTTTGAATTTTATATAGTCGTAACGATGATCACCAAGCTTGGTGAATATTTTATTATTTTGTTTATAAATGTTAACCGAGAAATTGTCAAGATTGTTAATAGTGTCGCTTAGAACTGAACAATTGAACGATGTTTCCATTTCGATGATATTTCTAAAAGAGGTAAGATCAAAAGTTTTAGTTGGAGAGAAAAAAATCTTTTGAGAAAGTATGAGGTATATATACTATAAAGACCTTTTCTGAATACATCATGACTTAATAATCTTGATAGACTTGACATAAATTTTTGGTGGCTTGTTGAGACGTAATAACAAATAAACAAAAATTAAAAAATAATTATCAAAAAATGAAGCTCCGACGATTCTCAGTATTTATTACAAAAGGTGAATTAATGTTACGTAATTTTTAAGTTGTACGAGTAATCGTGCGAGCAACCGTATTTGACTAGTGTGGGCCTTTTTACAAAACAGAAATAAATTAATGATGTAAGGTTTTCTGTGTAAAAGCTATGACGTCTCTTTTCTCCTCAGTTTGAAAGGAGTATTAACAAAGAAAGGCGAGACATTACGCAATTAAGATATGAATGTATGAATGAAAATATTTTTTTTTTGGTTATTTACATGGAAATGACTCAGGATTTGCAAAGCTAAAATCTGTTTTTTTTTTTATTCAAAAATTTCGAGGATCTTATTAGGCTTGAGAACATAAACTTTCGGTGAATTTTGCTAATGTCAATATTATTAATTTCTGCATGCTCTGAAAAATATTATCGGAAAAGAATATATATCTTAGATGAAAAAAACACTGATGGCATTAGTATAGAAACGTCATTTCACTTTGTAAAACAAGTCTATGTATCATCTAATCATGTAATTTATTTTCTGTATCAATAAAGTCACATTTAACAGTATAATTCTTTTTATCACTGCAAATTAATTGCGACATTAATAAATTTAATTGCGACACAAGTTGCGACATTTTTGTGTAATTGCAGCGCCATCTTTAATCACGATTTATATCCCGTCTTATTCGAAGATAGAAAAATGTCATATAATTGGCTGTTCCGAAATCTAAGATTGAGAAGATTTATTCCCATCTTGCATAAATCAATGTCAAACATTGATTCATTAAGAGAATTTAAGCTCTTTGCTGAGATTTCTAAACTTAGGAAGAAGTTGCCTGAGATCGAGGGCGAGAATGCTGAGATTCCTGAACTTAGAAAAGGTTGCTAAGGTTGAGGCTGAGAACACGAAATTAAGACAGATTATTGATGCTAACTAGATCAAAAAAATACAGAGCTTAAGATTTTTTGACTAATATTTTTCCTATAATTTCATAAAAGGATAGATGAGTAAGAGATTATAATAGTAAAAATTAATAAAAATAATTACTGGCCTTTCAATAATAAATTCTTTTTAATCATAAAGATTTGAGAAAATCATAATGGTGACGATTAATATTTATGTATTTATTATTAAAAAGGTTACATATTGTTAATACAACTTTAATAAAAATAAAAATAAGAATATATAAATATTTCATCTAATATACAGGTAATTCTTTTATAGTCAGCATAATTTATTAGTTAATCGTTAACGATAATAAAATTACAAAAAAACTTTGAAGACACTAAATCCATTAATTTCTTGTATTTTGTGTTCATGTATAACCTAGGAAATGCGTCATATGGTAAGTTCCGACTAATTTAAAGGCACTGAAGATATACCGTTTGCATTCTCTAAAGTATTAATCCGAAAATGGATAATACTATCACAGATACACTCATTAAAAGTATAGTAATCCAATATCCATATCCAAATTCTAATTTCACACCAGTTACTCCTCTTTCCAATTTTTGGACCGGAATTTCTATACCTTCACCTACTAACAAATTTCGTCTAGCCATAACTCCGGATGCAGTAATTCCACGAAACATTTGAACAAATTGTTCTCTTACAATGTCCACACGTGTTTCAGATGAGTTCAGACATCCTCCAACTGAATTATCTGAACATTGAGGTATCAATAAGTGACCACCATATGATGCAAGTGCTGCGTGCATGTATTCCCCATATACCGGTTTTGGGCTTGAATATTCCGCTCTATCATCATTAGTAATTCCCCCTGTCATACAGGTATCACATCCAGCTTCTATAAAATTAACATATTCCACATGTGTGTTCATCAAGCAAACAACACCTTCTGAACGACGACATAACTGAAGATTTCCAGCTATGTCAACTTTCCCTTCACATGTTGTGTTAACAGCCGATATTTGTACAAAATTGACAGTAATTCGCGTTGTTTCCAAAAGGTTATCCTGTTCAAGGTTTATGACCTCTGCAATCCACCGACCATTTAACCCAGAATCCGCTTGTATGGCTTGTATTAATGGTGTTGGTGTTGTTCTACTCAAGTTGTGAAAATTTATCAACCCTGGAAAATGGGCTGATTTGTTACATATAGTAGTTATACTAAAAGCTGGAATACGTTCTTCATTATCTTGTACCAACTTATAAGTTATATTCGTGTTGTTATCCGTGGTAGCTACCATTATAATTCGTGCATCATTAACTACATCTCCCCAATTTACAGACAATTGTTTGGAAATTCCATGGACCATTACATCTGCAGCTCCCTGTAACCATTGAAACCTAAACCTAGATTGGAATAAATTTGCGCATCCCGCATCGATCCCAACCTTACATGGTACTAATGGATCAACACTAAACTTTCCGCCCATTACGGGAAGCGAACCTGGAATTGTAATAATGTTTATTCCAAACCCAATACCTAACTCAATAAAAACAATTATTAAGCTGATGAATTTGATTAAATGCGTAAAAGTAATTTGTAAATTCTGTCCATTAATATTAATTTGTAAATTCTGTCCATTAATATAAATTGGTAAATTAATATGCGTATTATTAACTAACAGCGCCATCAGATGCGATGCTAAAAAAGTAAAAATCATTGGGACGGCTACTATCGCCCCACTTCCAACAGAAAAGATATACAGATCTTCAATTTTTTTAATTGGCAAAATAAATATGTTCAATGTTATTAAACCAAGCAATCCAAAACATATCATAATTTTCTTAGTGGTTTCTGATATTGATGATATTGTTATTATTGTTATGGATGACATATTTTATTTTTGAGATAAATTATCTTCTCAAAGAGGTTTATATTGGCAATTAAAAGCACATAATTTATTAAAATATTAGAATAACAACACAGATTACACATGTCGCTCCAAATAATTTAATAGGTAAAAAGAATCAAAATTAAATTCCAAAGATGGCAGCGTATAAATATTTGGCTATAAAATTGTGTAAATTCAAATCCATAACGATAAGAATAATGAATAAATACGAAAAGGGGGAAACTTCATGTGCACGAAATTAGGCTATATTCCCCCTTTTCCGAATTGAAAAAGATTATTGATGGAGATTAGATTTTAGACTTTATATAATTACTATATTTGGATCGAGATGAACTTACAATGATTTTACTAAATTTGGATCAAGATCAACTTACAATGATTACCATCAAAGCTACTTGTGACTCCGGACCAATATTATTCGACGCAGTACTGGCCACATGACTAAAATTTCAGTGACAAATTAAAAACTTTATGTTATAGCGATATTCATTTCTTATTATTATATTGCTAACTATGATTTTTAATAAAGCAGCAAATTGTTAAAATCCTTAAAACAAAGCTAAGATCTTACTATATAAAGTTTTCATGAAGGCCAGAAATGACGTCATCAAAATTTACCATCATTATCCATCCATTTAAAAAATTTGTGGAACATCATCACGCTTTAAAATCTGGCCAGAAATTACGTCATTTTAAAAGGGGTCGTTCCACAAATTTTATGACAAAGGGGGATGAGTCAAATCTTAATGACGTAATTTATGGCCCCCTAAATCATATCATATTTAGTGGAACTTACTTAAAAAACAAGCAAAGTTTTTTTATATTAAAAATAAATATTAAAAACTTTTTTTTTTTTAAAAAAAAATAAAGTATTATTGAACAAATAATATTTCTTGGATATAGTTTAACTTTGTATTAATGTTACAAGCTTATCACTATTATAAGTTTTATAAATCTTTTAAAAAATAATCATATTTGATAAAAGCTTACAGTTAAAAACTTAAAAAGTTTTTAAAAACTCTTGAAAGGTATGTCTATAGAATAATTTTTTTTGATTATATATATATCTTTTTCAAATTGCTTTTTAAATATATTATTCTGAAATTATTATGACACTTTTTATTGATATTGCAGGTTCATTTTTTTTACTGGGATTTTAGTGAATACTATTACATTTTTTTATATACTTGGGAATATTAAATTCTTTAATAATGTATAATAATTTATAATTTTAGTTATCTATACTACTATATACATTTTTTTTTAGATTTGATTGATCATAAATTAAAAAAAATTTCAAATTTGTATAAATATAAATCTTTTTACATAATATTTTAAATTACAAATTTTGATCTTTTACACTTATTATTTTTCACACATTTTTTTTTTAAAAATAAAAATGAATCAAAATATCTTAGAAAATCAAATAAATGATCATATAAATGATAAATTCTTTGATAATATACTTGAATTAGAAGAAGATTTTACTTTTCTATATGATAATAACGCAATAAATGATGCATTTGCTTTTATATTAAACAGTCAAAGTAATGCAAATAATAATAATATAGAAGAATCTTTAAAACAAGATTCTGATATATTTACAAAAATTATAGAATCAGAAATAGATGTAAATATAAATCAAACAAAAACAAAAATTTATCATTATGTATAATAGTAGATTTGATAGATAAAAATATAATATCGTGAATTTAAATATAACAGAGTACTTCGAAAATTTACATTGTGTAGATTTTCATAAACTTATGAGACCCACAGAGTTCTACGCAATGTAATACTTCAAAGGTCTATGTAACGTAATACTTCAGAGGTTAGGTCTATATAACGTAATACTTCGAAGGTTTATATTTCAAAGGTTTATATAATGTAATACTTCAAAGGTTTATATTTCAAAGGTCTATATAACATAATACTTCGAAGGTTTATATTTCAAAGATCTATATAACATAATACTTCAAAAGTTTATGTAACGTAATACTTCGAAGGTTTATATAATGGAATATTTCAAAGGATTATAAATCATAATTTTACACAATACTCAATAACATGTATAATAAGTAAATCATAATTTTATAAAATAATGTACAATATTCAAATAACTTTATTTATTATGTATAATAAGTACACATTATATAAATTATATTAAAAGTA